TAAAATAAATCAGAAAAATAGTGGCTTAATTATTTTTATGAATTATATTAATGCAAGTTATAGTCTCTTGAGTTAAATTATAATACACGAAAATATATTAATATTTTTTATTTGAGCTAATATTTTATTTTTATGTGAACTATTAGTTTCATTTAAATGTTTTTAATCTTTATGTTACGAAAAATAAAATAAATAAAAAAATAGTGTCTTTATTGCTAAAATATATTATTAAAAAAATTAACATACTTATAGAAATACAATAATGGGTTACAACTATACAAAGATTAATTTTTACGCCAGAGTTTGAAAATAAATAAATATTTTTTAAAAAACTCATATAATAGACTCTTATGGTCATTAAATGTAGTTGAGAGAAATGGAACAAAATAGAGAAAAAAATCAAAGACAATATTTTATTATTTTTATATATTTTAGGGGTTATTTTTAAAATTTTTAAAAATTGCTAGGTAATTTGTAATTAAATTTATTATTTTATTAAAAAACTAACGGAGATCCGTTAATTTGGACGGAAAATGGGCTGATTGGACAAAATTGAAGAAAATTTCAAACATTAGGGTAAAGTTGGCTAACCGAAAATCTATTGGGTATGATTGACGACGAGGAAAAAGTTTTGGGTAGGAACGATATTTTTTCCTTTTTATGCTTATACTCTGTACATGTTTATTGATGTGGGTCTTTTGTGTTGTTATGTTTGGAGTGGACTGACTATGGTGCTAGGTCATATTTGCGCCTGGAATTAGCTCTGAATACCATTTCAAATTAATTTTGGTTAAAGGCAATACGTTGTTCTTGATCATTAGACCATGCCCGCAGTTTGTCTGCAAGAACATTGTCTTGAGTTCTGTACTGGAAGGTTAGTCTGGTTGTACTTTCTCTTTTCTTCATGTGTTTCAAGTTTCTCGTTTATTTATGTTGAATCCCAGCAACAGATGTTTCCAGCTAGGATTAACTCAATTTATTCTGTTCTGGCATTTAAAAAATTTTGATGCAAGTAATTTGAATTTAACTTGCATATATAATACTAACTCAAGTAGTTTTATATATTATAAATTCATGAAACTGCAACTCATTACAAGATAGACTACTAGATACATGTTGTGTCTTCCATATTTGTGGACTTTCATACTCATTCTCTGATTTCGTTATAATTTTTTGCCACTGATATGGTCTTTGGCAATGAAGGTTGTGCAAGTGGCTATTGGGTGAAGGTAGTACAATGATGTAGTTTTTCTGTCTCAAAGAGAAGGCTTGCAGGTATTCTTTTTTCAGAATATAGTTTCTGCTTCTTTACTTAATCTGCAAAGAGATTATGAACTGAGTTAAGTTTGTAGATAGTTTATGTTTGTCGCATTTTGTTTTTACCCATTTTATGACACTCTCTCTGAACATATATATTCCCTCCGTCCCATAATTATTGTCCACTTTGCCCAAAAAACTTTGTCCCAAAATTATTGTCTAATTTAACTTTTTATGGATCAAGTTACACATTTGTCCTTAATAAAAAAGCATTATCCATAAAATCGTAGTGGTTAAACAATTACTTATGTAGGGGTATATCCGGTTGTTTAAGGTAAAATATAGTTAACTTTGACTAAAAATAAAAATTTTTATTTTAATAAAATTGGACAATAATTATGGGACAGAGGAAGTAATACATTGTAATGCTTATTTTACTTCAATTGTTTTCTTTATCTGGTTTCTTTTTATTTATTATACCCGAATTTTTGCTGTAAATAATAATTCTATTACTTAAATTCGATATTTTACATACTCTCACACAGAACCAATTATCTTGTGATATCGTCAAGATTATGGTGTGAAGTTTGAGAAAGAACAAAGAAAAGCTCATGAGAGTGGCTCCATGCAATAAGTACCACTTAGTAAAAAAAAGAACCAATCCTGAACTACACCTGGCTTTTGGAAAGAAAACATTATCCTTGCGTGCGCCTCTTTTGTGTACTTTGGTCACGTTGCCACCGAACGTGAGAGCCTTTCTCCCTTTAATGATGGTGCTTAAAGAGCTCAAATCTAAAGCAGCTAAAGGGAGCCCTTGACACATGAGGCTAAAGAAGAGTGGAAAGAAGTGAACTTGCAACATATGGTCTTTGATCCAACCTACCCTTATTCAGTTAAATTGAGATAAGAAAATGTGTTGTTGTGTTGGATTTATCTAAACTCTTGATATTTCTGAGCTTTGGATTTGAATTCTTTCAGAAATTTCTTGATATTTTTTTAATCAAGCCAAATTTCAAATGTCACTTAGTTCTTAAGATTACTCAGTAAATAGTATGACCCCCACTCACCGTCGAAGCTACCCTTCCTTTATTTTTACACTCCCAGCCACCCAACCCCCTTACCATCAACATGTGATTATGCCCTATACCAAAATAGCACAACGATTAGGAAATTACTTACTAAATTTTGATTTATATTCGGATCTAAACAAAAGTTACCAGATGCTACAAAGAGCATTGTAGATTTTATTTAAATGATTACCAAGTTAACACTTTTTGTGAACACTTTCCTGAAAGAGTTTTTTATGAAAATGAAGTCCAAGTTAAGATTTTTTTGTGCAGACTTTCCTGAAAAGAATTAAGCGATGTTTTAGATGTATATTTGCGTTATGGATTATCGAGATTCCGCATTGGAGATCACAAAGCTGCTGGATTCTTAGCTGTTAAAAAGACATGAAAGAATATATTTATTGGCACTACTAAGCGTAAAGAGAAAAATTCAAAAAAAGTGGATTATACCAAAATTCATATAAAACAACAGAGGAAAATAATATTTATATGCACTAGTCGCGCAACGTGCGACATGTAAAAGACTATTTTAATTCATATTATTTGACTTTTCCATTAATTAACATATGTTATTCTTGTTTTATTCGTGTAAGTAATTAGCTACTATTTGCATGTCTGAAGATACTAATCGAAGTAGCGAGAATGGAAGATTAGTATTAGTTCATAGGAATAATAAACTTAGGTTGAAAGCTTGAGAGTAAGATTATAACCTTTGCAACTGTTTGATTCTTAATGGTCTTAATGTACTTTTGTTAATCCCTGTAGTCACGAAAGTTATGGTTAATCTAAGTAAGAGAATTATAGCGCGAGAGTGTGTAGTTCTTATTTAGGTGAATCGTTGTGAGATTAATGGAAGTTAAAAGTCAAATACCAAACATTCGATAGGTGAACCCAATGTCTTAGGTTTTCCCAACTTGATTGTTTCATACTTTGTAATAACTGCAATTTTAGATTTTTGCTTTAGTTTTAATTTAAAACTTGATATCATAATTAGTTTAAATAATAATAAGAACTACTTTATAACCGTCATTTAATTTTTCTTTTCTGTGAGTACGACCCAATTTGTCAATGTACTAGTGTTAAGTATGTAATTTTATTTGACTAGTGTAATGATGCCTTGTCAGACAGCCATGATTACGTAGAAGTGATCTTCTTAGCAAAATTACTTATTATAATTTATTTGACAGTTACCAATTTACCATCCATAATATATAGCTTCCTTATATCATCTCATAGACTTATTCCGCGGTCATTTTCTCCCTAGGGCTTGTCATTTTCTTCCTATTATCATAGACCTTTTCGATCATATCTCTGAGTTCAGCTTAATTGAGTCGCATTTCTAACCAATGTTCTCAGTTCATTTTTCTAAATCTAAACTTTTTTCTTGTTCGGGTCAAAATTGCATTTTTATTGGAATACCTTCGTTCTAAAGTAATCAATTTATGACCAGAGTTTGAAAAATTATGACCTAAAAAAAAATCCATCTACCATTAATTTTCTAATGTCTAATGTTTATTTTAACGATTCTTTTTCTTTTTTTGTATCAATTTAAAAGTAACAGAATATTCAAATATTTTTCCGAAAATGATTTGTCCTCAACTTGTTCTTCTAATTAGAAAAGGCGATGAAGAAGTTGATAAGAAAAGAAAAAAGAAAACACTAATGTTTGTATCATTTCATGTTCTTTCAGTTCATGATGATTATTGCGCGAAGAAAATTTTCATTGCTTCTCTTCTTTCCAATCATTATCCTTTCTCCATTTTATTGTAGCAACAAAAAAACCAAAGTCACAAAAAAGAGCCCAGATAGTATGCAAAATGTCAAAGGAATCAAAGGGAAGGAACTGAGCAAAAATGAATAGTAAATCCAATGGGATATTGATTTTAGGGTTAGCACATGAAATGGAATGAAGTTTTAACCAAATAATTAAAAAAAACAAACAGAACTATAGCAAGAAACTTCGATTGTGAGTTTATATAAGATGAACTGAAGAAATAAAAGAACCATTGCAATTTAGTAAACGTCAATCTTGATTAACCAAATTACACTGTAAACATGAGTATATTCTTTCTCAGGAGGTGATCATCAACATCATATATTATACTCCCCCTGTCCCAAAATTGATAGAATTATTGTCCATACTGAAATTTCATTTTAGTATAATTTAAACTAGAAATGAAAACCTAAACTAGACTATATTTATGGGAGGGAGGGAGTACTCTATTTGTCCCAAAATTATTGTCCAGTTTAGATTTTCACTTTTAGTATAATATGAATTAAAAATAAAATTTCAAATTAGACAATAATTTCAGGACAGATGGAGGATATATTTATGTCGATTAACTACCTGTAAATAAAATGTTAAATTTGAAACTCTCTGCCACAATGAATAAACAAACCATAACGTGTGTGATGGAATGATGATAATACTCAAATTAGTGCATTAAAAAAGGCCAAATGATCAGGATTCATCAGGATTAAAATTCATTCAGATCGATTTATATGATTTATATGTAGCAGAAAAAAAAGAAAAGAAATTATAGAACAACTAATACTATTATTAATAATAATATTTTGAAAGGACAAATATTCAAGAATGAATTAAAGTGGTATTCATCAAGCCGAACATATTGTAGGCAATATCACAAATATTAGAATTGATGCCATTAGCAACACCTAAAGGAGAAGGCTTTGGTTTGAAACCATTTTCACAGTTGTTACTCTTTTTGGAATCATACATATACTCTTGACCAAGGGGAATATCACTCCGATTCGCGGCCTTAATGGCATCAACGATGAAGAAATTCACAACGGAACTGTAAAGGTTGAGGCAATTAGTCAAAGGGACTTTCAATTCTGGCTTTTCCTTGAGAAACTGATTGATGGCGTCAAGGGTTCGGTTGGAGCGGAATGAGAGTGAATTTAGCATGATTAGGATTAGGCCATTGAAGTTGGATCCCAGCTTTTTGGGTCATTCCTTAGGGTAGATTCACATAGCTGGTAATATGGGGTTTTACTGCACGCTATTGCGATCAAATCGTAGCTATTTTCCACTCCTGCAAGAAATGATATTGCTGTCATTGCTACGATTAAACTTGTAACGCCACAATTTTGAAACATTTTGGCCATTCCTTTTTCTTTTTTTCTATTCTCTAAAACTAAAATTTCGTTTCCTATATAGTGATGATGATAACTGGTTTTGTGTTCCAGAGGATTTTTTTGGACACAAGATATATAACACCCTAGTATTGACGTAGCTATTCCCTCCATTCCAAAATAAGTGTCATCCTACACTTTGCATATAGTTTAAGAAACTATTAATTCGGGTGATAAAATTACTTGAATATCCTCAACTAACCTCATTAAAACAATGTCCACCAATAGTATTAATTCTTTTGAGGGTAATTTTGGAAACTTAGGACAAAAAATGCATTGAAATGTGAGAACGACACTTATTTTGAAATTTCTTCATTTTGCTAAAACGACACTTATTTTGGAACTGAGAGAGTACTATTTTGGGACTCTATAGACTTTGACTTCATTTATTGCACAAACTTGACTGCTTTTAATGACAGTCAACACTCAACAAACATCATTCAATTAAAGAGAAAAAGAAAAAACAACATTTCTGTCTAAGATACAAAATAACATACTATAATACTAGTAGCTTATTTCCTGATTAAAAAGATTGTTAGCAAAAAAAAAAAAACAAAAAAAACAAAAAAAAAAACAAAAAAAGAAGAAAGAGAGAGAGAGAGAGAGAGAAAGAGAGAGAGAGAGAGAGAGAGGTAAACAACTAAATATCTGAAAACATCACATTTAATTTTCAAGGTAAAGAAGAACTTTGTGGAAAGAATAAAAATACTCCATCCGTCCCATAAAAGTGAAATTTTAAACTGGACAATAATTTTGGGACAAAGAGAGTAACTAGGTTGTATATTCTATTGATAAATGTTCAATCTTCTTGTTAATAAAGAGAGAACGAGAAAGAGACCCTCGGATACGGCCAGTTTGAGGTGTCCCAAACATAATTTGATTAGTGGAAGTTTTAAGTAAGAAGCATACATAAAAAATAGTCCATGTCACGTTAGTCGTAATTGACATCTTTCATCCAGCAGAATTGCTAATTGATTTCCCCCATATAATTAAGTTAGGATGCATTATCTTTATATATAAAAAAAACCAATATATCATTTCAATCTTGATTAACAAAAATTTCAGAACTGCAGCAAGAAACATCGATCGTGTATTTTAAGGAAGATGATGAACTGAAGAAATAAGAGGAATTACAATTCAGTAAACGCCAAATCTTGACTTTCCCAAGCCAATGCTGCTCATGACACAGGAACCAACCAGTAAAACGGCTCAAGAGTCCTTCTTAGTTACACTTGGGTCCCTTCATTCCATTAAAAATTCATAATTATCCCATTTTCTTGATATTACTTTGGTAAGTTTTAGAACCCGAACCCATAATAATGTAGGTGTTTGTAGTACGTATTTAAACTAACGGAAAAAAAAAAACAAAAAGATAAAAATATTTATAGTGTTGTCCGTCTCGTGATTGCTAAGTTTGCTTAATATAATGCAACAAAAGAATAGTTGATTTTGGACATTGATTCGAATCAACCAATGCCAAAAATTATTTTTTCAACGAATTCAAATTCGACATATTCTTTTTCAAAGGTAAAACTATCCCAATAGGTGTTTATTTTATTTATGAAAGAAAGTATAAATTGGTCCAGTTGCGGAGCTAATTAAAAAGTATGAACTTGCGTGTTACAACACCATCAAAAAATCATCATCCAGAATATTGTTGAGAAACCATAGCAAAGAATCTGATAATTACATTTATGAAATGAATCAAACAAAGGAAAACAAAATCCGGCTCCCATGAATGAATGAATGGCAAAGCCGCAGAAATCCCATCAAAATTCAGTAGTAAGACTGTAATTTTTAAAGAATCCACATCCAGCTCTTCAAAGAATGTTGCGGTGAAAGCAGCCTATAACTCATCTTTCTGCTCCTCGGCAAATTGCAGCAAATCTCTCGGTTCCAATGTCTTCAGGGGATCACCAGAAACGCTGATATCTGTGGAGGACAAATTAATTAAATCCAAAAGTCTAAAAAAAAAAAAACAGCGTTAAACAAACAGAAATTCAAGCTTTGCGGGGCAGAGTAATGTAAAGAAATATTTCCTGTGAGGAACAAATTTTCTTGAAAGAATTAGTACTGCGTAGTTCCACTGGATTTTACAAGAAAACTATGCTCTTGAAACCAAAGGCTATAATGCTAGCCAAACATAAAAGTACTTTATCAATAATATTTTCATAAGTTACCCAAGGGAAACTCTTTCAATCAATGTAATTAATTCCGGTTAGTAGATCAGGTGAGGAGAAGCCTTTTTAAATTATTAATACAAATACAAAATCAGGACCTTATTAAATCACAACAAAATGTAATCAGAATGAACTAATTAATTAACTGAGATGCGTTCATCTTGTTTGTTTACTATATATTTCCTATACCTCCAGTCTAGCGATGTAGTTAGAGTTCGATTCACCAAAGTGTCTCAAAGATTAATCGAAAACGTTTGATTTAGGATGCTTTACTTCCAAACGTTTACAATGTGTTGAATTTGATGGACAGTTAATTATTACTTAATCAAAGCACAATGTTTCATCTTGATGCTCCATCAATCCGAGTAATAGCATAGAACAAAATATTATTTGCAGGTTTTTTTACTTCTAATTTACATAGATAATATGATGAAATGATTTTACGCTTCATTTGGGTTATGCTGCATCGTTTCCCAACTGTATATATGCGGGCAAAATTAAAACTTGGAATCAAAATACAAGAACATATTCCTTCCATCCCCAAAAAGTAATTCAAATTATAATTTATGAATTGTACTATTTTTAGTATAATTCGCAAGTTAAATTGTAGACAGTTTTTTTTTTTTGAAATAGAGAGTAATAATCAAATCCTGATTTCGTTCAACAGAAAAAAAAAAAAAAAAAAAAGCACTACAAAATTGATCATCAGATGGAATAAGAAATCATGATGAGCACTTCTGAGATTAAGAGTTCTGAAACAACAATGAAGACCAGAAAACTCCAATGATCAGAAACATTAATAGCATTTACTAAAAAGAATATGAACTTGTCTTTACAACACCAAAATCATCCATAATGTTGAGGAACACATCAAAGAATCTGACTAAACTAATCAGTAAAATGAACTAAAAAAATGCTATACCATGAATGAATGTCTGCATAAGATTTATTAGAATTCAGTTTTAAGACTCTGTAAGCTCAGGAGAATCCACACCTAAAGTCTCCATGTTTTCCTTCAACCTCTGCAAAAGAATTTACCAACACCGGAGAAAAAGAACATCCAAAAGACCTACTAAAATACTCTCCCTAGGTAATTCTGAAAAGGTATTTTTGTCAGAAATCGAAAATCTCAGAAGCTAGCTTGGAACACTCCCCATAAAACTGATCACCACAAACCATCTTTGCAAATTCAACATAATTGATTTGACCAACGCCATCCGGATCAGCTACGGCCATGATGCAATGAATTTCTTCATCAGTCATCTTCTGCTTAACGTTTCTCATTAGATGGCGGAATTCGGCCGAGGAAATGAAGCCAGTTCGACCCTCATCAACTCCCTGGAAAGATCTTATAAATAATTATCCAAATTCAAGAAAAAGGCACCACACCATCATGACTCTGAAGACACAATGATTGTTGAGCATTTTATTAAGTTTTTATTTTATCTCTTCCATTAATTTAGTTTTTGTTCCAATTCTTTTTTAAGTGAAAAAAGTCATCCTAAATGTGTGCGTTTATGCCCGTGTTGCGTTTTTTTCCTCCAAAACCATCTAATTTACTCAATTCAAGTCAAAACCTATCTTTCCTCCCAATACTCTGGCCAATTTTGATTTTGATTATTATTTTTCCAAAAACAAAAATTACTAAATTTTCCCAGCATTTTATGATTTGTCCTGTGGGAGAAAAATGAGTAAATATTATGAAACTTTTTTCTAAAGATAGTCAGATTTGACTGAGATAAAAAGAAATAAATAGGGTGAATCGAATAAGTGGAGGCTAAGGCTAAAATTTGGCTCGATTGAGAAAAATTAAAAACAAGTGGAGCAAAATTATTTATAAACTATAACATAAGAGAAAGTCAGTAATTTTCTTTCTAAAAAATAAAAGCAAATCAAATTTTGCCAGTATGTTGGTCGAAGAGATGGGTTTCCGCCAAATTTTTGGGGGGGAAAAAATCAAAAGGATTAATTTTTTCAGTAGAAAAATAATAATGTTGGAAATTAAATCGAACAATATTTTAGGGATGGGAAATTCAGGTGCTCTAAATATGTACAACCGAGTACCGTCTCTAACCTATCTAGCTAGAAGCTGTACTTACAGCTCTCATTTGGACAAACTTCTCAATTGTTTCCAATTGACTGACTCCAGACGCTCTCTATTTGGTTCCAATTGTGAATTTAAATCTCCGAAGATCCGTCTTCAACATCTCAAACATATTTGATATGATATATAACTTTTTAACTATGTGATGTTCTCATTATCTCATACAATTGGTTGGCATTTCGCATACTCAAACCGCCGATTTATAGTTACAACACGCAGGATGCGCGGCCGGCAATGTAAATATGACAACAAAATTGAAAGAATCAAAGAGGCTTAATTGATTTGATTAGCCTAGTGTATTTGAATTATATAGACTTGAAGGTTACATGATAAGTACAATGAAGATAGAACTCTTAAAGAGATAAATACATAAGGATTTCAAAGACATCTCTAAAAACTAACTTGATAATTACAAATATAATATATCTAACAAAAATGACCTATAAAAAATATGTTAGTTTTCTCTCTCACATACAAACAAATTTATAA